TGTTTTAAATAGTCCGTGTTTTAGATTCTACATTAATGCTTCTCTACAACTTTCATTGAATAATAATGTGTCATGTGATATATCTTTATTGCCCTTAGTGACAGAAAGTCTCTGCAGGACTCCCAGTGCATAGTCTTTTCTCACGGTCAGGTCTTGCATCCTGGAAACCTATGACATTATCGGGTCTACTCCCGCCACCTTTCCCTCTGTCACTCCTAATTATCTTACATACCATTGCATTTGAGCAAAGATACATCATGACTCAGCATTGGCTAATACAGTTACTTAAAGGAAAGAGAGCATTTTATAATAATGACAAAAATAAATTCAACAAACTTAAAATGCAATATAGCATAAAGACGGATCAACACAAAAGTGATGTATTCACAGCAATCTCAGGACTCAAGGTTTAACCTGGCTTTTGCATAGTTCTAACCAAAAAGGATCATATCTGTATTATCTGAATTCTATACTTTGTCTGATATACAATTTGCAATAATGAGGCTGATTCCACATTCCAATTTGTACAGCTTCTAAAGAATTCTAATAGGTTCTCAATAAAAATCAAAAAACTTGTTTTGTATTTTCGGTTTGTTGTTCCCATCTGTTTGCTTCTGAAGATAGAACAATTTCTGATGTAAAATCTGGGATCTGAGAGGGCATATACCTATGTCAGCTCATTTCTATGTGCATGTTTATGTCTGTGGGTGTTAGCAGAGTTCTAAATTATTATTAGGTTTCAAACAGTGATTGAAAAGAAAACTTTTGAAAGCAGTTCTAAGAATAATTTATACTAAAGCTATTTGTCTCCTTCATAGTTGCACCATCCCTCCCAAGGCTTCCGCTTTGGAACTGTCCGAGAAAGCAGTGCTGAAGATTATGTGAGACAAAGCTTCCCGGAGATGCACGAATATATGAGAAGGTACAATGTTCCAGCCACCCCCGATGGAGTGGAGTATCTCAAGTGAGTGTCAACCTCTCACATCCAAAAAGTTCTCACTGAAGAGAAGTCATTTAGATACCAACGTAGCGTTTGTTAGATTTTAAAAATGATAGATAAATATACCCACTGTGTGTTCAGTAATACCTCACACTGTGTGAGATCCAGGAGGCAATATGGAATAGCATGCATTTAATTATGTGACCTAGATTACTAGTTACCTGCATTGTCTCAAGTTGGCAGTAGCTTTGTTCAAAGAGCCAGTGGGACCATTAGTGTAGCAGATGGTGGGGGAAGAAAATGTCGGCTTGACATCGCTTGAGAAAACAATGGTGCAGAAATGATCAAACACACGGGGAATGTAGCCAGAGGATAAAGTGTCCCAAGGCAACCCTTTCCTTCACAGTGAATCTCTGAGCCTGTGGAATGCCTCCTCTTGCCACAAGGAAATGGGATTTATCTTAGAGATTTCCTGTAGAAAGGAAATAAGATAGAAGGCAATGGTTCCCATGCCTGTATCCTTCTCATCAGAATTTATGAGAAGCAATCAAGAGAAATCACATTGCCATGGCAGATTATCAGAGCCTGTAATTCAGTGAGGCTGGATGCAAAGGCGGACAGTGCAGGTATGGGTCTGCTCCTGTAGTGTGCCTGGGAGAAGGGAATGAATGGCTCCTGATAAGCACCGATGCATGCATGAGGTGAGCAGTCCTCTCCCTCCTGCCCAAGGGCATCAGAATAATAACAGACATCCAATCCTCCCATTCCTAGAATTATGCAGTATCAGGAAACTGGTTTCTCCATGGTCAGCTGCGATAATCTCCCCAACAGACAAAAGGACCTGCCACCTCAAGTTATTTTTTTAAGAAAAAGAGAAAATAAGTAAATAATTTCATGGCACATAAGGGCTTTGTCTTTCTCAGGAGCTTTAGTAGTAGGCCACTGAAACAATTTCATGGACTTTTAACTATAGCTTAGAGAGAAAGCCTTGTTCTCTCCTATTGGCAAAGTTATATATGATGTTTGAGTACTATGAAATGCCACTCTTAATTTTGAAAGAACATCAAAACATTAAGTCTCTTTCTGACTTAGAGTGTAGAGCTCCTTTGCCTCCGAGATCCTCTTCTGTATCCTATTCTTCAGGCAAATTCATGGTTGAGGGAGAGAACAAGATTTCAGGGAGACAGCAATGGCTCCCAGTTCAATAGGAATGGCTGACAAACTGCTGTCATGGTGAAACGCTGGCAGGGTGAAAAGGATGAGGTGAGCCACTGCTGTGGTCTCCAGGAGCTCCACTCCAATCAGGGTATTCATGCATTCCAGGGCCCACCTGAAAAGGCCCCCATTCCCAGCAGTGGCCCCACCATGGCCTACAGAAAACAATCATTAGGAAAGCAGGCACAGATGACAAAGGCCCCAAAGAAGTAAATTTTCCATGGTAATGCAGCTAGTCAGTAAGTAGAGTCAGAACTAGAACCAAGTCTCTGACATCCAACCACTGCTTCAGCCTAGTCCAGGTTGAACCATGATGGAAGAGTAGGTCCTTGATACTCAAAGAATAGTCCATGTTCCAGCAGCATCCACATTCCAGTTAATATCTGGGAGCTAGTTAGAAATGCAGCATCTCAGGTCCCATCCCAAACCTACTGTACCAGAATCTGCAATTTAACAAGCTCACCAGGTGGTTCACTGATTAAAATTGGAATATAGGCAGAGCTGATCATGAATGCCCTCTCACTTCTTTTCTCTGGGCCTTCTCTCTCCACTCCTATGCACTAGTCACTTCCTATGCACTTAGCCACCACTCCAAGTAATCTCGGTCTTCATGTCACCCCTCTGGCATCCCAGAGCTCTGACCTGCAAGGCACAACTGTGGAGTTGCCTTGTGCAAGACAGGTTCTTATGTACAGAACTTGTCCTTCCTCTCTCCCATGAAAATTCCTCTGAGCTTAGTGTTACTCTTTCAAAGTCCTACTTTATCAGATGGCAGTTTTTCAATAAATTAATTGCTATTAAAATTCTCATTTATTTTAGTATGTTAACATATGACTGGTTGTTTTGTGGTATGTGATATCTATTTGTAAATGAATGCTCGAAAAAAGACAGATCATGATTCTATAATAGAAGAAACAACTGGAGGCCCTGCCAAGTACAATGGTGATTCAGCCAGTCTAAAAGCTACTTATTCCTGGATCACACCCTGCCACTTCCTCACCAGTGACTCAGGGTCCCTTGGGAGTCTGTGAACTGATTGCTTCTTGCCTTCTTATACAACAGAAGCCTATCATAGCTAACTGCACTTTGGAGCCCCAAATCAGTAGTAGTTATTTAAGGATACCAGCAACACTAGACTTTAGAAATTATTGGTTCAAAACAATGAATTGAACCTCAGTTTTTTTCTATGATCATATTGCTATCACAAATATTTGTGGAATATTAGCAAATAGTAACGTGTTGCTATGTAACTCCCAAGGTACATTCTGCTATTGTGGCAATAAAACTTTGATTGGAGAAATGTTTTTCAGCTCAATTTTGGTTTTACTGCCAGTATTGGATTCCATTAAGTTTCCTCATCATCAACTCCCAAGAGACAATTCACATTCCCAACCCTTTCTGAAGCTTCCCACTGCTGTGGAGCTGGGAAGTGCTTTCATTTTTCTTAAAGTTAACCATAGGTCTCCTTGTAACTCAAATCCAATACCTCCTGGAAACAGGGATGAATTTTAAATTGGCTATTTCACTTCCTGGAAGAGTAGGAAAAGGAAATGATGGTCATTGGCATCAAAAAGGGAAGTTGATCAACTTACTTTGTGTCCATATGTGGCCCAGGCATAGCCATCCATGTAAACATGTGTATCCTGCCCAGTGATAAATCGTCCAGGTGTCTAGGGATGTCTCTCTTGTTTAAATTTTTGATGCACCCTAGCCCTATTCTACTCTGAGTTTAGAGGACACTCCTCTGTGTTGAATTCCAGCAGCCTCATTCCCAGATCTAAGAGAGGAAGGACTGAGTTCAGATAGAATGGAGAATTGCTCTCTTTGCAAAGCTGTTTGGACAACTATGAGAGTAGAAAAGCCTTCCTTAAATGGATGTGTGTCCTATACCATCCCAAAAAGGATTTAAAGTGGCTGAAAACAAAGAAGGCATTGCATATATCTCAGACAGTCCCCTTTAAAATTCCTCCTTCCTTGCCCTCTATATAAGAGGGAGCTCACTGTGCTGAGACATAGCCTTCATCTGGACCATTTCTGTGCCTATGTTCAAAATACGGGAAGAGTTTCATGAATGATGCCCAAGACATCTGATAGTAGCTTGAGTCCAGCGCATTGCCAATTCATTAATACAGCCCAGGGACACCTACCTTAAATTATTCTTGCCTGAACTGCCTACTGGGATGGGAGTAAAACATGAATCTCTGGAGATATATTAATAAATCAGGTCACTATGATATATTACATAAGCTTCCCCTTCCATTTAGTGAATGCTAACCTATGGACTTTAAAGAAATCTTTTCCCCAAAAGTGCTATATCTCTTATATGTATTGCATTAATATCTATTCCTAAATATAAAGTAATATTTGATTTCTGAAGAATATGATAGTGATCATGACAGAAAGAAATAAAAATTTCAATACCAATTAATGAGACTACCTGGCTCCAACACTTACTAGCTATGTAACCTAAATCAAATTACTTCAACTCTCTGAGCCTCAATTTCCTCATCTCTTAAGTCATAGTCATTATGAGTGATAAAATGTGTAGAGGACAATAAATACAATGCCTAACACAAAGAAGCTGCTCTGACAATATAAGAGAAATGAACCTTCTCTGTGCACCTTCCTATTTAATTCAGAGTTGCTCTGGCTTTGTTGTTGGATTTAGAAGTAATGAAAGGAACTGGTAGATAAACCCACTGGAAAGACATCATGGTCTCTTATAAGGGTGTCAGTCTCCCCTGGTCTGAACTCTAGAGGTCAGTGAGATGCCAACAAATCTGAGTCAGCAGCTAGCTAGTTTGTCCTGCCCTTAGTGCCCAGCTTTCTGTCCCCTAAACAAAAGCCAGCTGTTAGCCTTAGCACTTCCTGTCCATTAATGAATCATTTTCACTTTTCTTCTCACTTCTCTTCTCTTAAATATAGGAATGATCCAGAGAAACTAGACGCCTTCATCATGGACAAAGCCCTTTTGGATTATGAAGTGTCAATAGATGCTGACTGCAAACTTCTAACTGTGGGGAAGCCATTTGCCATAGAAGGTATTAATCAGTCACTCTTGATTCACTTTTACACAGGATGTGCTCAGGCTGCCAGCCTAGCAAGTCACAAATGCCAAAGTCAGAGGCAAAGAGCTATTCATCTTCCCTTGTTTTCATTTTCAATTCATAAGCACTTAGCTATTAAGTTGCTGAAGTTAGGAATTTATTTTTCACCTACTCAACAAACATTTATTTACCCAGTTGTTAGGGGGAAAAAAATCATTGTTACCCAGATGATGTTGCTTCAGATATCTGGGAGTAGTAGCACAGTGTAATAAATGGGAAGTCTCCATTTATAAATGGACACTTCCCATTTATTACACAAGATTAATCTAATCTGTATTTTTTAACAGCGAAATACTGTAGTGAATCTGATGCAAAACCTAGAGTGATTACGTTTTACAACTGGAAAGACCTCAATGTTGATCTAATCTAATCTACTCATTTTACACACAAGATAGCCCAGGAACATTATATCACATTTCCTTAATCATATAATTAGACAATAATACTGGGATTAAAAATCTAAATCTCATGGTTCTTAAATAAGTATTCTTCTACTAGTTGGAAAATAAGTAGAAAAATATGTTGTTCTGTAGTTTAGTACCCTTTAGGGTCCTAAATAAAACCTTATTTGGGACCTCAGATTTGCCTTTTTCCCCACTGGCAGCAAATTTTTGCTTCCAACTTGATCAACCAATCAATCAAACTTTAGGACCAAAGAAAGATTGCTTTGTCAGTAGCTTCTTTCATTTTGAATGACGGTTGATATATGGAGCTGATAGTTTGAACCAGCAAATTTCACATCTCCCAATTCCCAGCTCCCCTTCCCTACGAGCACATGCTGGCTCTCAAGACAGCCATGCTCACTTGTCAGAAAACACTTTGGCTTAAAACAATCCCATGGGGGTGCCCAAGTCCTATTTCCAGAAATCTGTACTTTCCTGTATGTTAACGAGGATATCAAAGCTAATCTGATTCCAATTTCCCAATTTCCCAACCACAGTTGGTCTCCATCTCCCCGAAACATGTCAGCAGATTTTTCTACTTTAGTCTTTGTTTTTGTGATAAATGAGACTGTAACAGCTGATGCTGTTTCTCTGAGCCCTTTCCTAGGAGAAATCAGTCTCCTCTCCAGGCAAAACGACCCCCACCTGAACCAAGGATGGAACTCGGGAAGAGAGATAGTTAGTGATAGCGGTCTTCTATTAAGACTGCAGTCTGGGGTAGCAAAGGCAGAAAAAGAAAAAGAGAAAGCTGGAAGACCAAATGACATTCAGGATATAACCTCATTTTTATGTAACAATGGAAAAATTCCCAATTTTTGTGGCATCTGGGGATGTTACATTTTATTTCTGTCCTAGATGCACTGGGTAATTGAGGTCCCTTCTGCTATTGGTAGCTACTAACAATGAATCATTTGCAGAGGGCAGAAAAATGAGGGGCTCCATTTTCCACCTTTGTCTTCAGGGGGCAACTCTATCTTGTCAAAAGACAGTGGTAAGATGGCTTGTTTGCCTCTGCCAGCCCCCAGTGCCAGATGCCACACAATTAACTCCCCACTGGTTTCCTGTTTACATTTCCATCTGTGCTCCTGAGACTTAGTGTCTTGCGGGTCCCATCATCTCTAGACACACCACATTGTTTTCAAAGAGGATAGGCACAAAATGGCGCACGGAAGAGCTCTCCCTGCAAGGGAGCAGAAAGACTGTAGATTTTAACTGAGAGAGTTAAATAATTGTTGGTTTATTCTCAAAATGATGGGGTACAAATCAGAAAATTTAATTTGCTACTGCCCCTGCCAACAAGTTCACAACCTAAAAACATAACTCAGGGGCCCAGAGCGGTGGCTCACGCCTATAATCCTAGCTCTCTGGGAGGCCGAGGCGGGCGGATTGTTTGATCTCAGGAGTTCGAAACCAGCCTGAGCAAGAGCGACACCCCCGTCTCTACTAAAAATAGAAAGAAATTAATCGGACAACTAAAAATATATAGAAAAAATTAGCCGGGCATGGTGGCACATGCGGGAGGCAGAGGCAGAAGGATTGCTTGAGCCCAGGAGTTTGAGGTTGCTGTGAGCTAGGCTGACGCCATGGCACTCACTCTAGTCCAGGCAACAGAGTGAGATTCTGTCTGGAAAAAAAAAAAAACATAACTCAGTAAACCACAAAGGGAAGATACTTATAAGTTAGACACAATGTGATAAAGATACTAGTAAAAGTCTTGATTGCTGCTTTTTAAAAAAATGTGAAGCTCATAGATTTTTAGGGAAATATTTCTCTCAATGAAAATTTTGAAAATATTATATGCTTTCCTTTAACAACATTTAAGTTTTTGAATTTATTAAAATGTGAGCTTTATTAAGTTAGTCTGCATAAAACAAAATCATCAAAATGGTTTATGAACAATACGTTCCCATTTAGCTTAAGGGAATGTTTTATATGACTACTGGTACCCCTTCACAGGGCCTAGTACAATGCTAGGCATATGACAATTATGTGCTAAATGATGTATTATCTATTAAATAAATCATTAGGTTAGATTTGAAATAAGTACCTAATTTACTTACTTATGTAGTTAATCAACAGCATTCTCATAGTTTGCACATACTTTCCCAAAGGTTTAAATGATTTCAGCAATTTAGACAGGAGAGGAAACAGAGTGCAATGATTCCTTCATGCTGAATGTACCTTTACTGTATAAAGTATTGATATTATACCTACTCAGTTTGACAACTGCTATGGTCTGAATGCTTGTGTCCTCCCAAAAATCATACATTGAAACCTACTCCCTAATGTGATGGAATTAGGAGGTGGGACCTTTTGGGAGGTGATTAGGTCATGAAGTCTTTGTTCTTAGAAAATGGAATTAATGCCCTTATAAAATAGGTCCAAGGGGCTCATTCATTCTTTCCAGCATATGAGGACACAGCAAAAAGGTGCCATCTATGAACAAGAAATCAGGCCTCGGCCTTCACCAGACACCATATCTGCCAGCACCTTGATCTTGTACCTCCCAGTTTCCAGAATTATAAAAAATAAATTTCTGTTGTTCATAAGCCACCCATTCCATGGTATTTTGTTACAGAAACCCGAACATACTCAGATAACTACTAAATACCCCTTCTAATTCACCATTCTGCATTTATCAGACTTAAAAAGTAAAAGAAAGGCAAATGAGAGAGTGGCTCCACACTGAGTTTGAAACTCTTTCTTGAGTATTCATTTATGCTAAAGAGTATGTGGTAGAACAAACCGAAACTATTAGGAATTCAAAAGCATGCAGGAAGTTTTTGGTCAAATTTAAATACCATATATAAAGGTATAAGTTGAGTCAGCAATTTAAAAATAAGAATTCTTTGACCAATGAACATGAGCAAATCTGAAAAGCAACTGATAAAGAGAAGGACAGAAATAAAAACCTCAAGGTTTTACTATTTTATGTTTCTGAATAAAATGGATTTTTATATCTTTTAACAAATACCTCTTCTCATCACCACATAATTTTTTCCTACTTCCCCCTCATTCTGTAGGCACAGATTATTTTAATTAGTTAATAGTAGTTATTATTAATTCTAGAAATCATTAAAATATCAATATTTGATATATGTATTAAAATATAAAATTTAAAAGGGTAGTAATGTATTTTTAGCAGTCGATTACAAATTAACCTAGACATGATGGAGTGGAATGATTTAATATTTATTATTTCCTATGTAGCAATTTTTTATAAATGTCTCTAGAATTTCAACCTACCTTTTTTTCTTCAGGGAATTTTAGTACTTTTGTTGTAGTACCAAAATTCTATTTTTAGGATAAGTAGATTTATCATAAGTATGAATTTCAAAATTTAAAAAACTTTCTTTTCATGTAGTTTTGTCTTATCTACCAAAAATACCACTATCAAAAATCAACCGCAGATGCCTTCTCTCATCCTCTCGTCTGGTAGCAATTTCTCAGTCCTCTGAACTTCCACAGAGTTTTATCTGTTCTCATTGTGTCCTAGTCATATTTTTCCTTTGTTGAATTTATGCCTCACTCATCTTTTTTTCCAAGAAAAATCATGTAACTTTCTCCCATATATAGTCTATGTATACCTCATCTCCCCCATGCCAGCATAAGCTTCTTATGGATGGATTCTGTGCTGTGTCTAATTTAACTTGGTGACCTCCATCGCACTTGGCAGAGTGCCTGGCACAGAATAAGCATTCAACACACGTTTGTGGAATTAATGGATAGATGAATGGGTGAGCAATGAATGTTTATCAAATGAAAACAAGTCTTCCATTATTATGCTAATATGGGTTGGAATTATTAGATTTAAGAGAATTTTTTAGAAGAAACAATATGATTCGTGAGGGTCCTTGTTAATGAATTTCCTCACCTATATAATCATATACAAGTTCTCACACTAACCTATTGAAAAGCTTTTAAATAAAATCTAGCTGTGAATAATATATACTTGTTTCTGCTGAAAACAAACTACTAGTTTAGATGACTGTGGTTTTTAAATGAATTACCTAGTTTGGGGGATTACATCAATATGCCTCCAGTAATGGGGCCCCTATTGAAGGGGAGGAAACAGGGCAAGTATCCCCTTGACTTGGACGCATGTTGTAATGAACATGGTGGAGAGAGAATTGGATTTAGAACCAAACAGACCTACTTTCGAATGCTGGCTTTGCCAACTACCAGCTGTGTGATCTTGGCAGTTTACTTATTCAATCTTTGTCTCTAAGTAATACATACTCTGGCACAGGTTCATGTAGGGATGCATGTGGAATAGCGCCTGGCACACGGCAGAGCTCAGTATGTCCTAGTTATTATTAGAAACCCAGAATGATTTAACTGAACTATGTGCCACAATCTTGTTCTAGTGTATAATCTACGAAATGGGGTAAGGTATGTAAAAAGTTTCTTATAGAGCAGTACTTAGTGTATTGTAAGCCCTCAATAAATATTAGAAGTTTTTGTTGTTGAAAACTACTGCCTTATGGAAGAAAAACACATTAATATTCAGAAAACCTGGTTAATTATTCTGACTGTCAACTCTCTCCCACCACATAGTCCCAAGTCCTCCTACATTTTGTTCTTATATGCAACAGTTCCTCTTTCTCGTGGTGCCTATCTCAGTTGTAATAAATTAATCATTCTGTGCATTGTGTAGTATCTGTCTTCCCAGTAGAGTATACACTGCCTGACAGCAGAGACCACACCTGCCTTGGTCACTGCTAAATCCTGACCACTTAACACGGTGCCTAGTCACTCAGGAAATATTTGTTGGATGAATAAATGAGTGAATGAATGAATGTGTAAATCAGTGACTTGGTAAATATTATTTTTATACTTGTGCCCAGTACTGTGCCTGACACGTAAATAAGGACTAAATAAACATATGTGCAATTGAATAGTCAATAGCATTTATTATAAATTTCTAAAGAAAACTAGTTACTTCCTTATAATAAGTTGCCCATTCTTTAAAGAATGTTATTTAAAGATAACATCAGCGGAAGAAAAAGCTGCCCGTCCAGAGTCTTTTATTATCAGTTTTGCCTTTCAAACCAAAACTACCAGGCACAAAACAGGCACTCAAAATAGCTCATTGAATGGAAAATTCTAATCATGCTTTTGACATTGTCATCATTTCCTTGACTCCCCATTGTTAAGGAACAAACAAAATCATCAGGAAAGAAAAAACATAACAACTCACAAAAACTCAAAATTTTTCTGCATTATATATTTCTTCTCTTTTATTGGTTATACACACATCTCAAACCTTGTTATTTTTCTAAAAAAAGATTTATGTATCTGCATTAAAAAAGGATCAAAAACCAATATTCTTGGAATTGAGATATAAGATAGAATAATTATAGGAGTTATTTTTTCCCATTAAGTATCTTTGGAACCTTGACAGTCTTTTAATCTTTGTCCATGAAAAAGGAACTAACCGTATTTTTAATTTTTCTCCCTCGATCATGTTGAAAGCAAAAAATCTTTTTTTCACTATGCTATCCAACAGCTAAAAACAAAATGTAGTTAATTAGCCTCTTTCATGTGGCTCATCAAAGAGATTAACAGTGTAGTAACATTTTGGAAAGCAAGTGAAGACACACAGTATGAGGATACAGAGAGTCTAAGCTGTCTATTAAAACTCTGACAATAGGCCGGGCACGGCGGCTCACACCTGTAATGCTAACACTCTGGAAGGCCCAGGCAAAAGGACTGCTTGAGCTCAGGAGTTTGAGACCAGCCTGACCAAGAGCAAGACCCCATTTCCACAAAAAAAACAATAGAAAAATAAGCAGGGTGTGGTGGTGCACGTCTACAGTCCCCATACTTGGGAGGCTGAGGCAGGAGGATCACCTGAGCCCTGGAGTTTGAGGTTGCAGTGAGCTATGATGATGCCACTGCACTCTAGCCAGGACACAGAGCAAGACTCTGTCTCAAAAAAACAAAAAAAAAAAAAGAAAAAAACTCTGACAACAAATTAATTTCATCTTTGTGCTCTTCCCCCATTCCTTCCCCTGCCTCCCTTGACCTGCTTAATCACTATCCTGAATCTTTCACTTATCATATCCTTGTTTTTTTCTAAATATAGTATTATCACATATATATGTATTCCTAAAAATATATTGTTTTGAATATGTTAATATTTACACAATGAATTTGCGATGCAAGTAATCATCTGGGACTGAGCTTTTTTCGCTCAATAGCATATTGCTAAGAGTCATCCATATCATTACATCTAGTTCCAGTTCATATATTTTTCATTATATAATATTTCAACCGTATAAATATTCTACAATTTATTTACCCATTCCCTTGCTAAAGAAAATTTGGGTTGTTGCCAATTTTTGTTTTTATGAGCAATACCTCTAAGAACATTCTTGTACATGTCTCCTGCTGTGCTTGTGGAGAAGTTCTTGGGGAATGTTCTTAGGAACAGAATTGTTGGTCTTAAAGTACGTAAATTTTCAACTATATGAAATAATACCAAACTGTTTTCCAAAGTGTTTATATCAATTTTCATTCCAATAAGCAATATATAAATGGTCTTAGTGATCCACGTCTTCTCCAACAATTGGTATTACCAGACTTCTTTGAGTCTGGGACGGGGGTGGGTTTTAAACAATTGAAGTTAGTTCTTATAAGTTTTTGTTGATGTTTTGGTTCTCATGCTGTATTGTATGTTCACATTGTCTTATTATTCAAAAATAAATCAAAAAAAGTAAAAGAAGATCATGCATTAACAGTGATAAAATTATCTCATAAACCAAAGATTATGATTAATCCAATTCTGTATACTTAAGGTCCAGAGGAGGGGTTTCTGAGAGGGGTGGGTAGGCAATCCTAGCCCTGGTAAAGACCTTAAAGAATGCTTCTAAGAAATACTTTGAAGGGAAGGGCAGAAGATCTTGACATAAAATATTCCACAAGTGCACTGTACCCAGCCCATTCCTCTCCTTTTCAGACTTATCTCATCTACTCAGAGATGCAGCCAATCTAAGGGTAATCATATCTAAGAACATCTTTGAGTCCTTTAAAGGAAAGATGGTGAAAACTCACCATGCCCTTGTTGTCAGATCTGATGGCAATATCACTCACGTATGAAATATGGTGACAATCTCTCAGAAACAGTGTAAGAAACTCATCTGAGATTGTGTTTTCTCCTAGGATATGGCATTGGTCTCCCACCCAACTCTCCACTGACCTCCAACATATCCGAGCTAATCAGTCAATACAAGTCACACGGGTTTATGGATGTGCTACATGACAAGTGGTACAAGGTGGTTCCCTGTGGCAAGAGAAGTTTTGCTGTCACTGAGGTATGGAAGTGCTGATAATGTTGACACTTTGTACAGCTTTACCTTAAAGAATATAAGGAAATGCTGATACCTGTGCCCCATACTCCAGACTATTGCATTTATTAATACTAAGACTCTCTATGATACTTGGTACTTTTCACTTCACTTGAAAAGTACTCATTCCTACAGGAATTTGCAGTGAGTTTGTCTTTGATTTAAATGTGATGCTATTTTGATGAGTAAATGTCTAAATTTCTACTTTTCCCCATAACCTATATTCACAAGTGCAGAAGAAATGCTATTCTGAATTATAGCAATAGTGTCTGACATTGACATTAACAGTGTCTGGTTTAATCATTAATTGTTGGTCGTGATGTGTACTTCAAGACATCCTTCAAAATCTAACTAATGCTTTGCTAAATTCCCAGTGTGACTATCTAGGGATAAATTCTTTGTGGGTTTAGAAAAATAGACATACATCAACTAGTACTTCTTAGATTACAGAATCGTAGATTTTTTTTAAAAACTGAGAACAACAAATTCCCTTCCTTAACAGTTGGGAAACTAGTACACAGAGGTACTAAGTGATATGCCCAAGGCACACAAATAGTCAGAATATGCTTCTTCCGATTGCAGTATTCTGCCTTTACAATGTAATTAGAAATAAATCTATAAAATAAGGCAGAAATTGAATAATTAAAATAGGAGACTGAAAGGTATAATCAGAAACATAGGCTCAGATGTTTAAAAAGGGAAGCCAAATGAACTTATACAAGGTCAGCCTAACATTAAAAAAAAAAAAACCTAAAGCCAAAAATAATATCTTCAAATAGATTCTATTTGCTAAGAACTCACAAATTTGTATTTCAACACAGTCCCTTCTTCTGAGCTCCAGACCATATATCTACCTTCCTATTTGACATCTCCACTTGAATAACCTATAGGCGTCTCAAATTTAACTTGTCAAAAGCTGAACTCTTGATCTTCCCTCCTAAATCTGCTTTTCCTCCTGTGCTTCACATCTTGGTAAAGACACCTCTGGCCATCTAGTTACTCATTCCAGAAAATGGCAGGGAGCCTTAATGCCTCCCACATTTCACTTTCTGCATCCATCAGCAAGCCATATCTTTTCCTTCTATAAAACATGCCTGAAATATGTCCATTTATTGTCATCTCCATTGTCATCGCTCCAGTATAAGTCATCATCCCTCACCTGGACCACTACAAAAGTCTCCTAACTAGCCTTTCTGTTTTCACTCCTGCCTTCCTCCAATTTGTTTTCCAGATGGCAGACTATTCTTTTGCTTAGAAGCCTGCAATGGCCCCCTATGTTAATTAGCACAAAATCTGAAATGCTGACATGGCCTACAATGCCCTGTGGGACCTGCCCCAGCCTCATCTCATGCCACTTTCCTCCTGGCTCATTACAGCCCCATCACAGTGGGCATTTTAGATGGAGATACATCAGTGGCTTCCTACCTTGGGGCCCCTGCACATGCTGTTGCCTCCTCTTCCTCAAATACTCTTCCCTCTGACATTTGTTCAGCTAAAGCCTTCACACTATAAACTTCCAACTAATATCTCCCTTCTTCAAAAAGATATCTGCACTCTCGTGTTTAGTGCAGCACTATTCACAATAGCCAACATTTGGAATCAAACTAAGTATCTATCAATGGATGAATGGATAAAGAAATTGTGGTACATATACACAACGGAATATTATATAACTATTAAAAAGAATGAAATCTGGTGGAACTGGAGAACATTATGTTAAGTGAGATGAGCCAAGCACAGAAAGACAAATCTCTCATGTTCTCACATTCATATGTGGGAGCTAAATATTAAAAACAATTGATCTCATGGAGACAGAGAATAGAATGCTGGTTACCAGCAGCTGAGAAGGACAGTGGGAAGGAGAAGATAAAGTGGGGATGGTTAATGGGTGCAAAAATGTAGTTAGATAGTTAGGTAGAATGAACAACATTTGATAGCACAACAAAGTAACTATAGTAAATAATAAGTTAGAGAGCATACTTTAAAATAACTGAAAGAGTGGAATTGGAATGTTCCTAAAACAAAGAAATGATAAATGCCTGAGGTGACAGATACCCCAATTACCCTGATTTGATTAATTCACATGGTATGTCTCTATCAAAACATCACATGTACCCTATAAGTACATACAACTATTCCGTACCCATAATAATTAAGAATAAAAATTGTTTAAAATAAAATAAAGTAACAAAAATAAAATCCCCCTTCTTCAAACCCTTATAATCCTTGACCAATAGGAATCATATCTCCTTTTATAATGTCAGATTATGTCTCACATTATTTCATAGCACTTGTCATAATTTATAAACTTCACTATTTTTAAACACACATTTAATCAGATTATTATTTTTTAGTGTATCTCTTCTTCATTATATAGTAAGAGCTCTGGGGGAGTGGGCAAACACTTTGTTTACAATTGTGTTCTCATGTTCTCAATGCCTCATGTATAGTATGCCCTCGATAACTAATTGTGGAATAAATGAATCAGAGAAACTGAACTACATACCTGACAAGAAGTCAGGGAGCAGAAGGTAAAAACATAAATCAGAAGTGACATTAGTAGTGTATTGGGATGAATTTCGTGTCTACCAAGAACTTCAGAATGTGACCTTATTTGGAAACAGGATCTTTGAAAAGGTAGTTAATTAAGTAAAGATGAGGCCACGCTGTATTTGGATGGGCCCTAAGTCCCATGACCAGTGTTCTTATAAGGAAGCCATATGAAGAGAAGGGAAGAAGGCCCTGTGATTGGACTAAGTAGCTACAAGCCAAGGAATGCTAAGGAATGCCAGAAACTATCAGAAACTAGGAGAGAAGCATAAAATAGATTCTCCCTCAGAGCCTCCAGAGGGAGCCAACCCTGATGACACTTTGATTTCAGACTTTTGACCTCCTAAACTGTTAGAAAATCAATTTATGTTGTTCTAAGCCATCTAGTTTATAGTAATTTGTTACAGCATCCCTAGAAACTAATACAGACAGATGACGATGATGAATATAGATAATAGATAGACAGATAGATAAACAGGTAAAACAAGAGCAAATAACTCCAACTAGAAGCTGAGGCAAGCTGGTCAATGCTGTTGGCAATTAAGTGTATCTCTGATCTTCCTGGAAGCCATGACAAAAAGGATTGTAAGATGAGTTGGAAAGTTTTTTAATCAGAAAAGAAGTGGAAGCGAACCTATCTTTGATTCTGAATTCTAAAATAATTCTTTCTTTTTGGAAAAATGACACTGAATCACAGAGTTGACAATATTTACAAAACGCAAAAATATTGCTTCTCTAATACTTATATTGATGCTTCATAGAAGTTGAGGGCATGATGTTAGATGTGACTCAATGAAAGCCTTTTGAGGGGCAGTAAACATGCAATGCATAGCCTCTGTTTCTTTATGACCTACTCAAACTGTTTCTGAAAACTTAGGCCACCTGAAAAAATGGACTTGCTCATCCAACAATATTTATTGAGCACCCACTATGTGCTACACATTGTTCTGGATCTGTTTGATATACTATTGAAAAAGAGACAAAAATCCCTACCTTGCAGGAGTTTGCATTCTAGCAGCAGGAGACAAATACACAGTGGACATAACACATAAGTAAATTATTAATAGTATGTTACAAGGTGAGAAGCAGAATAGCGGTGGTGACAGCAGTCGTGGAAGAACTCATTGAGCAGATGATCATTGATCAAAGATTTGAGGGAAGCAGAGAGGAAAATGGGGACTTAGGGAACTAGTGGTTGGGAAATTCTGGATGTAGTCAGCTGGAGGCATTGGATAAGAGGGTGATATCAGGATCAAGTGGTACTTGTTAGGACAACCTTGGGCCCACATCTCAGGTCAGCTGAATTTGAAAGGGAGAGAGAAGTAGGAATGAGGAGAATGGAGGAGAGGTGTGTCCTTAATTGGAACTCCAGAGACAGAAATAAAAGAGGGTACTGGTAACATCTATATGTGTGTAGAGATAGGAGGGCCATCCCTATCCTCAGTGAATATTATGAATACACATAGAGTTATTCTTTCTTGGGGATGGCAGTCTGTACTATGGCATATCCTGGTCTATGCAGTAACACACTGTTCTATAACGTTGCTCACCTGTGTGCATTTAAGCAGCAATGCATATCATGGTGCACTGACATATTTGTCTTGACCAAACCCAAGACAGAATTTCAGGATCATCAGAACCTAAAGATAGAACATAATTAAGTGGAAGCAAGCATCAGCTCATTGGCTGAGCTTGACCTCCTGAGCAGAGGTCCTTTGCCTGCTGCATTTCCCATGGCTCAATACTCTGAGTCTCCACCTGCTTTTTTTTTTTAACTTTCTCCCAGAAAAGGTGAGAAGAAGAGAGCAGGCTCATAGTGCTTTGCTTGCCATTCCTTTTGCCTCAAATGCCATACACTGCGGGGCTGTGTTAGTGTATGCGGAGAAACCAGGATTGGCTTTGAAATCAGACAAGCCATCTCGGAAGCCTCCCTCTACCACCAACTTACCTTTGGCAAGTCATTTAATCCAGCTCAGCCTCAGTTTCTTCATCTCTTCAGTGGCTCCTGTGAGGAGTAAGTAAATCAGCGGTTTAATAAACATGGCCCTCCTCCTCCCCTTCTGCCCAGGGGAGGGGTGCGGGGCACTGAGCAACAGATGCAGGCATGCTCTGGATGGCTCCTCTCCCACAGGTGCTCTTGGCCCTTTAGGAAGACGTTCCTTGGTTTATTTCTGACCTTACTCTCCATTTTGCCAATTACAGTCTCAGTCTGTGTCTATCGCCACAGAGGAATTAAACACTTTCTTTCACTCTGAAAAAATATTCTAGTCTGGATAATGAATTATATGATCACTGAGTAATAAAACATGAAAGATGCTTTTTTTCCCCACATTTCTGGCAGTTGGACATTAATACTTGGCCCTGCGTGAGAACCTTGACCTATTCACCTTCCATCTCTTTGCAACCCCAGAGCTGTT